AGCCCATGAGAGCCCCTCGTAGCTGAGAATCCCCACACCGGTGGGCATGCCATGCTCAAATTCCATGTTTGCTTCATTGTTATGTAGGTTAGCTTTGTCCTCTTCCATGGGGTCTTCCACATTGTTGCTGTGCAGACGAGACTGCTCTCCGTGCTGCCCATCGTCACCCATTTCATCATCATCATCGTCGTCGCAATTGTCGTCGTCTTCCTCATCACTATAATCATCATACGCATCAAAGAAGTCCTCCTCAATGTGTACATTAAATGGAAATCCATGCTGCTCATAATCCCACATATCATCATCATCATAATCATTGTGAACCCCAGCTCCAAAAAAACCATCAGCCTAATTTTCATCGTTGTCGTCTTCGTCATATGACGACTGAGTCCCACTTGATGAACTGCTGTCCTCCGAGACCATGCCTTTACCCTTGCGGCGTCTCAATTCTTCACTTGCCTCCGAATTGTCAGTACATGGATCAGATTTGGAAGATAAGACTACTGGGCAATCTGCATCACCAGGAATGTTGTTGCTACCATACCAATCGATGGCAAGGATTTTCTCTCCCCTTCCAATTGTTTGCCAATGCCGGTCACTCACCTTGATAGGAAATAATACATCTTCGGTCATGATGTTGATAGCCTCATGTTTCCTTAGATCCTGAAACATATCCATTATTTCCTCGTTGCCCTCTATGTACCGAAACTTACCGTCCATGAGTCTCGACGGGCAAGGCTTATCGGTAAAGTACAATCGCCCCATGGTTGCCCGCCCCCTACCATCCCGTACATCCGGAGAAAAGATCCATAATAAACACGTTCCTTATCGAAATTTGGAAATTGCACTCCTTGTCCAGATCTGTAAAGCGTAGAAGGTCCATCGTAATCTATGTAACCCCCTACCCACATGTAGATGTGGACCTTCGGAATGATGTTCATCGTTTTGGACGTAATACTTTCACGTGCACAAAATGAGTTAACCAACCAAGCATATCACTAACAAAAATAAATATTTATGTACCCATACAAATCCAGACCATTCACACCGGTCCCCACACAAGAAAGAGATGCCAGTAAAATATAGAAATCTTTATTCGATAGAGACAGAGCCTCTCACTCGAATCCCAAGAAATTTCTAACGCCTATAAATAATAAATCTTCCTTAAATCCCACGCTGGAACTATCTTCTAAACCCAGAAATAATTTTCCTAAACTCACTTTTGTTTCGTTATTGTTCGACAAAAAAAATGAGGAAAAAATCTAGAATCGACAAGGCAAAACAACGCAATGTGCAAAAATCGGCAAGAAGAAGTGAAATCGGGAATCATCCCCTACCGAACGCACTAACCTTCGTCGTCTTAGGTCTTACCAGGCCGCCGGTGACTCTCACAGAAAGAGTAGGCTTCGAAGCCCTACAAATTAAATTGAATCGACGGTGAACTTCACATCTTAGACAAGAAATAGGTATGAGATGTTTCGCCGCGTTGGGACTCGGAAACGGTGAATCTCGCCGGCGCACTATCAGAGAGTGTGTCAGCATGGACAGGGTCCGTCGATGGGAGAAGAAGTCGTGTGTGGTGTGGTGATTTGGGGTGAATGAGGTTAATTTAGGGAAGGGTGGGGTGAATTATATGTGAGGGCATAACGGTCATTCAGTGTCAAAATTTAACACCGTCAGCTCTTTTCCACAAATGGGTGAGTCTGCATAGTTTATAAAACATAAGGGTGTGTGACGCAATTTCTAAAGCACTGGGGAAATTGCGCGGAGTTTCGAAACCACAGGGAAATTTTGGGCAATTTTGCCTAAATTATATGATGTGATTGTTGTATGACTTATATTATTTCTTTGTTTATATTTAAGGTGGCAATTTGATTTTGGGAGGTTAAAAAACATGCTCGAGAGCATCTGATGATGAAGATGAAGAAAATAATGAACAATAATTTCATAGTTGCCCGAAAATAATGGTTTGTTATCCATTTATATTATTTTTTATGTATTTTTTTTCAACTATCTTTTTAATACAAAATAATCTATTTAAAATCTCCAATTGATTATTGAATTATGTAATTTTTTGTAGGCACCAAGATATGGTAAGTTTAGAGAGTTTTGAAAGTATTGGTTCAACTTCAAACTATAGTATGACCGTCCGCGTCCGATTGCAACAGAAGTAGACTGTTTTTATTGTTGTTATTTTGAATTACAATTAGTTATTTGGTGTGGTGAGTGTTGATTTTTGATTTTTTTTTTTTTTTTTTTTTTTTTTGTATTTATGATGAATGAACAAAAACAAATGTTGTTGGCATTGTTAAGGTTGTTGTTGATAATTTTATATTTGCTATAATTTTTATTATTTTTTTAAAAATAAATAGATAATTTTTAGGTATGTTTGGCCAGGTTCCGGTCCGAGTCAAGTTTATAAATTGTAGTTAAATCTTTTTAATATTTCGGATATATCGGGTCTATTGGGTATGACCGGCATGTTGCGGGTTGGGTCCAGATACATTCGGGTCTGATTCGAATCTCGAGTCCACAAAATTACATTCGGGTCAGGTCTCACGTCTAGCCATACCCGAGCCATTGTCATCCCTAGGTTTAGGAGGGAATGAGAGACGAGGGAATTTTAAAGTTGTGTTCTTTTGTGGGTTTTATCATAGATTTTTACTATTTAGATTATTTTTTTCTTTCAAAAATATCACATCAAACAATTACATTTTTTTTTATATTATACAAAAAATTTATTATATATTCAATGCATCACATCAACATTTATTTATATCATATCAAACAACTATTCAAATTTAATTTTTTACTATTAAAAAATCCAAACCCCAAAACTAAAACTCACGAACAAACACACCCTTTTATGTGTTTATTTAGAATTTTTTTAGAAAGGTGAGGAAGCGAGACAATTTTTTCTAATTTTTTTTTTCAATTTTGAAAAGTTTGGAAGTAAGAGATTTTATTTTATTTAATTACTTATTATATCTTTTAAATATTTTATTAGAAATTTTATAATATCCTTAAAAATTTACTTAGTATTATTTATTTTAATTTTAATTATATTAGAGTAATAATATTTTATTTATTTATATAATATAAGGAATAAAATAGTAAAATTATATTATATATTCTTTTTCTTAATTAAATCCAAAAATACTAATTCGCGTAAGGGTAAGGTCGGTTCGATTTTTTTTTTTTGGTATAATATGTGGAATTCGCAGCTGTTACCTAAAAATGAGCACTGGGTGGGATAAACCCTTGACCAAACCTATAATATGTTTGACAATTAGCTGATTGCGTTTAGTTGTTAGTTGATTCAATTATCTGTTAGCGTTTAGTTGATTCAATTAGTTGTTTGTATTAAAGTATTTGGTAAAATAACCGTTTGATATTAGTTATTTGTATGTAAAATGACAATTAAGAACATTTATATTTCAATTTTTAAAATTTTTTAATTATGTTTTTTTTTTATGTTTTAAAAATTTTAAGATTTTTGTTATTGGTTATTTGAAATTACAAATGTATTATAAAATTTTCTTTCTATTAATTTTAGATGTGAGAAAAATAATAATATATATTAAGAAATATAAATATATTTTTTTATTAAGAAATATAAATATATTTTTTTAATTAAGAATGATGTAAAATATAAAATAATAAATTTATTGTATATATATTTATTATATTAATTATTGATTAATTTTATTATATTTATAATTTTTAATAAATTTATTTTATTTTATTTAATTTTAATATAAATTTATTGTGTTTTAATGTTTTTTTTTATTTTAAGAAATATATATAATTATAAATAAAATTAATTAATTTAAATTTATAAAAATAAATTATAATTTAATAAATAATATATTAAAATAATTTATAATTACTGTGGAAAATATATGTACATGTATATAAAATAAATAATAATATTTTAAAAATAAATAAAAATAAATAATTAAAGTAAAAATACTTTCAGAATACAGTTTTTCATAAATTATTTATTTATTTTTTCAATAAACTATTTAAAAAATAAATTAAAAAGCTATTTGGGAAATATGTGGCACGTGATCGAGGCGGAGGTTTGAAGCATGACCTCACTGTCACGTCCAACACCATACCACCATCCTAATACCTTGTTTGAAGAAGAAGAGCTAAACCCTAAACCCATACGGGAGAAGATTATCGCAATCGGATTTCTTTGCAATGCAATGGAGTGGAGCGATTTCTTCGCGGTAATTCGTTCCCGTCGACGGAGATGGAGAGACCAACTGTTGCCACCGCGCCGCCCCCAACCGCACCTATTTAGAAGGTCGTATGCCGCATAATATTTTGATGTTGTTTTTCACGAAGGTTATTGATTTAGAATGTTTCGGTTACTTTGGCATCTTTGCTACCAATATCACGAAGGTTATTGATTTACCTGCAGTCGGGTGCGGTTGGTTACCTTTAATCGTGATTTTGCCTGCGAAGATTGATTGCCGCATGCTTGTTCTTACCTAGTGTTGTTGTTTCTCTTATTGTTTATGTTCTTTGAAACCTGTAGGTCGTGGAACTTCAAGGACGCTAATGCGATTCATTTATCGATCGATGAAACCCTTGCAAGTGTTACTTCATTTGCTATTCATTTCAAGATGACTCAAGAGATTTTTTATTGCTATCTGCAGTTTCTTTTTATCATATATTTCTTGCTAAGCACTTATATTTTCAATGATTTTTTGTTTCTTTTATGGAAGTGCAACCATTGCTTCTTTTTCCATACATGTAAGTGTTCGTTTCGATTTGTATTTATATCTATTTTTTCCATACATGGGGAATTTGATGCTTTGGAGAATTCTTAGTGCAAGTGTTGAAACTTGTGGAGCATGTGTAAACAGATCACCATAGTATTCTGCGATTGATTGACGTTATTCAATGCCACTCTGATTGCAGTATCATGGTGCTGAATCTATAGACTGTGCTGCGAATAAACATGAGTCTTCTGCACTTGTGGTACTTACATAGTTTTAATCTCGGGTAGTGGTACATTGCTGTCAACCTTTAAAATGTTATATCGGAGCAGTGGATAGCGTCACTATTAAAAAACTTACAAGTACATTTATAAAAATTATTATATGCATACAAAATTACTATAAAAATCTTAAGAAAAATGCATGAATTAATCTTATAATTATCATTCAAACCAATAAAATGACAAAAAGTATATGGTCATAGTTAATAGATAGTTATATAAACAAAAGCAATTAGATAACTACCACTTTGATAAATAGATAATCAAAGTTAATCAAGATTCAAAATCTGATAACTAATTTTCTTTCTTATTTTTACCCCTAACTACCACTCGAACAGTTATCCTAGAGGAGTAGTCCTTTACCATTTCTTCTATTATATGTCTTACACTCTGCCTTTCCCTAAGTAGCTATTGCCTTCTTACTTATTGATATTTGCTTCATAGTCTAGATGACAGGCTCTTGTAGAAATATTACATTATATATAATTTAAAACTAAATGGCCACAATATATATATATATATATATAACAATAAACTAAATAATTAGTAGATTGTTTAGCAATAAAATGCAATATAAATACATAGTTTTACATGTAAAAACAAATATAGAGCTTCTGCTGTTCCACACTACTGCTAAATGGCGCTGCGGCCATGATTGCATAAATGTGGCATCGCAGAGCAGCAGTAGTGACTGATTGCTGCTTGCTCTGGAACACCGCTATTAGTGCTATACTGCGCGCAATTGACAACTACGGATACTTCATGATGCTTGTGCTGAGGAGCTCTTCTGTTGACATAGTTTTTGCTATGGAAAAAGGAGATGTGTAGATAAGGCTGGGTTTAGATATGCTATACGGATGATGTTCATTTCTTCTCCTGTTCCAAATTTGACTTCTGATTACCCTATTAGACCTTAGTAACCCCAAGAAATCTTATTGAAAATAGAGCATATAAATTTTGATATACTTAAAATGTTGAGTTTTTTATTTTAAAAATTTTGTATGTCTGAAATAGTTGGAAATTTTTTTAATGAATATTTAAATTAAAGTTTTTCTACTAGATGTTTGCAGTTATTTTTAATAAATTTGGAGTGCGAACTTTCTTTTGGATTTCCTTACTGCATTTGGTTTGTTGTATGCTCTTAAAGACCTTGGATGCCATTTTTTTTGGGCAGATGTTATTTTTGTGCTTCCTTAAATCCTTCTTATGGTAATGTTCTATCAATTATATATCCATGAACACTCTTCTATCTATAATCCCTTAATTAAGCGCAGATAGAAAATACATATTTCAGAATAACCGTTAAATTGTGTTAGTGAGACTCATGACTTGGAATGCCTCTTGTTGTTCTAATGTGATGCCATAGTTATGCATGCTTCTTTTCTATCTTCAGTTGTTTAAAATGCTTCTGTTTCTGCTATATAGTGTCACAAGTATTTGTTCTTTTTATGGTCATATCAAAATTGTGGTTTTCTCTGTGCACTAATTCAGTTTGGCATCCTCTCTTCCGTCTTTCTAAATATGAGTTACTTGTTTGTTTGGTGCGTGAAATAGATTTATGATTAGCTCCCTGAAAGGCTAAGAGTTGCTCTTGTTTTGTCTGTAAAATATGTTGTGTGAATATGGTGTAATACTCATTGTGAGATTCCAGAACTTAATAGACCTTTGAAGATAGCGAGTCTAGTGACAATACAATATAATTGAAAAGTTTCAAAGAATCATCCCCCAGTCGCTAATTGTCAATCCGACTTCTCGTTGAGTTAGTTCATTATTTTCTATATGTGTACATGGATGAAAACTACTGGATGATTATTTGCCCCAGTGAATTTATTAATTTTATTTTTACCCCGGGATATCATTAATTGTTATGTGCACGTGGATGGAAACTATTGGATGATTATTCTTTTATCTCTCTTGTCTACTATATTGTCAGTCAGTCTCCTTCACTCCCTTTCATCTCCCTTCTCTCGAATCTTCTTCGATTCCGTGAAATTGTAGAGGTTTAAGGATTCACATATCAGTATGTATTGTATGATGATTCTGATCTCAGAAGAGGATCTGAACCATAAGTTTCCTTTAACAAATTAAGAATCAAACTTCCTTTGATCCACCATCATATCACAAGTTGAGTGTAGTAATTTGATCTAGCCGTTTCTTGAGAATAAACCCTTAGCCCCTTCATTTGATTGTTGAAATTCTATGCTAATGGATTGCCATCAATCAATCAGTTTTGCTGATGAAGATTTTGTAGGATTTCATTCTAGTAACCCAGAAAAAGAAATAGGGCTGCGTGAGAATTTCGAACTCAGCCTGACTCCTCATGTGTTTATGCCCACTAAAGGTGGTGTTTGTAACAGAGATTTGGAAGTGGGAAATGAGGTACCTAAAAAGAAGACTAGAAACTCACTCACATCAGATTTGCTATCTTTGAATCGCTCTCAGGCAGAAGGCCAAGATCTTCCACCTAATTTTAAAAAACCTGTGTCCTCAACCAAGGAAAATGCAGGATTATCTGATGGAAAGGAGGTGTTTCAGATACCAGTAATGAATTTGAGTCATGATCGACGGTTATGTAAGTTGAAAAGGGCCTGTCGTTTGTTCTCTCAGGGAGGTTGCCCATATGATGTATATTGTCCTTTTACTCATGATGAACAATTAGAAAAACGAGAATATGCAGCAATATGTTTGGTACCAGGGAAGGATGTTGCTGATAAATATAAAACGAAGATGTCTACCAACTGGAAGTCCTTTGGTAGTAAGTCCCGTTTTGCTCATGAAGTTACTGGTTTAATTTTTATGCCATTTTAGTTTCAAGCAGTCACAATTAAAATTCTGTGATGGTTCCAATAGTTATTTGGAAACAATAGTTCTTATTCGGATTTATTCTTTGGGAGATTTTACTTGCCTAGTTTGCGAGGAGTGTCATGTCTTATTTGGAATTCACAAGATACACAACTTAATTGTTTATGCCACCATATCCTTATCATTTCATTTCGTCCAGCTGATAAGGATTTTAATAGATAGGATACCAGGAGCCACTGCATGCTTTTTGTGCACAGAAACTTATCAAATTAGTCTCTGTGATTGCCTTTGTTATATAATCACCCTAAGAACACTAGGCCTATGTCTAACTTGGCTAAACTTTACGCTTTTTCTCATCATCCTTTAGTTTTCCTCCACTAAAAGTGGTTTTATTTTCATCTTCATCCTAGTTCTAGCAGTAAGCCTATATAGCTACAAATTCAACCTTTCAGATATCATAGATCTCATATTGTCAGATCCCTTCTAGTAGTAATTTGTTGTTAATCTATGATTGTGTAGTTGACTTAGTTTATGCTGCAATTAACTATTTCAAATTATCAGTGTATTACTACTTTCAATATGTTGTAGCTAGTTCTCAATATATTCATAATGATTGAGAACTATTCTGGATTTCCTTGGGATTGACATAAAAAAAGGAATTTATATGAAAATGAATAGAGGACAGGACAACTTGGAATGAATTATTAGTTGGAGGCTATTGGAAATCATCCATGACCCTTACTAAAACCTACACGCTTGAAATAAGCAGAAAGATATGGTTTCTGTTGGATTTATAATTTAAATTCAGTTGGGGCCTTAAGCTTTCACATATGAAGTTAGTTTATAATGCAAGTTGAGTTAGAGATTTACTTTCCTTTTGGAGACTGGAGATGTATAGAAATACCTTTTTGGAGACTCTTGCCCTTTTCACTGTATATATTTATAGTTTAGTTTTGTGATTGTAATGAAAGCCAGCACCATAGAGAGATTTGAGAATCACATTCTTCGAAATATTTTCCACTTCTATTTAGAGAGAATTAGGATTCGTTTGCACATTATTCTCCAGAGTCCAGCATATAGTTGATTTGGGGATTTTGTTGTGCTCTCTGTTAATTACTGGAATTATACTTTCTTTGTGGGTTCAAGTGTTTTCACATAAATCTTTCATTTTGTGTATGCTCTTTCTGGTAAGCTTTGATTCCATATTATGTATCCTTTGTCTTGATTTTCTTGACTTGTATATTGTACTGCTAGTAGGTTTGCTGTTTTAAAATTGTTAAAAAAAAAAATTGCTGGTTTTTCTAGTTGACTTTGGTTCTCTCTTGTTTCTTGTGTTTTTGATGATTGAGAGCATTAGGACGATGTTGGTGAGGTATGTTAGCTAACATGGGCATGCGTTAAAGGTTTATACTGTGTATATAAGCTACACAATTCCATGGTTTTCGTCATCTATAGGTTTTTGGTTGTGCAAAAGAATGATAGTTACACATTCTATATAGACTCTGTTTATATAGAGGGTTTTGGAGTTTTGAATTTTTTTTATTTTTTAGTAGTAAAAAGTTGTGTGTACTTGTGTATTTGATCTGATGCTTTTTTGAAAAAGTTAGTGTAGGTAAATAGTGCCAAAAACCTCAAATAGTGTGTAATTATATATCTGAAATTGGATGCTAAATCGCCATTTTATTTGAATATGTGTTGCACAACTCTGACGGTTGTGTATGAATGTGTTTCTCAGCACATGGGAAAGGGCTGCAATCGGATCAATATGGAGCAACAATGATCCCGTTGGCTCCTGCCGGCATTGTTAATCCATCCGTTGTTTCAGTGACTCGTTCTTCCCGCACCAGAGCCACACCGTGGAAGTTGCCTGAGATGGCCGCGACGCCAGGAGAGGTGCGCATTCGAAAATGGAATGGTCCTGATAAAATCAGCAAGATATATGGTGACTGGATTGATGACCTCTAGTGAGCTTTTCTACCTTTCCATGCGTCCATATAGCAGCCATCAGACTTTGCAGCCATGGTTCTCGTTCCCTTTCGACTATTCTTTAGTTCTGCAAAACATTCAAGCAGGTTCTGAGTTTGTGCTTTTTTCTGAAAACTATTTTGCAGTGCCGATTGCAGGAGGAAGTGAAAAAAGACATGGAGAATGAAAATTGGATCTCGATCGAGCTTTGAATGCAAGGGATTGGCTGGTATGGTATGAACACATAAGTAAACATGTTAGTTTTCAGAAATTCTAAACGTATTAATTTTATTAGCTGCCTGTGTATTAGGATCAGATCATAGTATTGCGCCACTTGCCTGTGTTGCTAGATAATTTAGTTAATTTTGATTCGGAATATATTATCAATTATAATATGAGAATCTTTTATCATTGATATTCTAATATACTTGTAATTTATTCGGTAGGAAAATTAATGCTATGGCTAAGTTTGACATGATTTTAATGAATATTATATAAAATAAAAATATTTGAAAATAGTAAAAGTTTAAATTTAATTTGTCTGATATAATATGTATGGTATGGCTGTTGTTAGCTTTTTACTTTACTAACTATAATTAGTGAAACACATACTCCCTCCCTCCCTCCCTCCCTCCCTCCCTCCAACCCATAGGTAAGTATCTATTTGCTTTTTGCACGTAGTTTTAGAAATATTAGTATTATATTGGGATATAGTAGGAATAAAGTAGAAATAACTAAAATAATTTTATTAGTATGTGTGATGTAAAAGTAATGACATTTATGTAATATATTGTAAGTTGTAAGGGTATTTGTAATGTTAGGTAGGTAATACAATTACTAGAAAAAGAAAATGGTTACTTTGTTGTGGGACGGATTAAAATGAAAAAATAGATAGTTTGTTATGGGACGGAGAGAGTATAATATATAAAAACCAAATAAGATGTTTAACTATTGACACTACATTCTACATTTAATATACAACAGGACATATGATATAAATATATGGCGGCTTACGGTTTTTTTTTTTTTGTCAGAACCGAGTTGAATTATTATTAACTTTTAGATCCATGGATTATTAAATCGGATGGTGTATATTAAATCGGGTTAAATATATAATTTTATTTTTCTTATGTATTTAATGTGGTGTTTTAATTTTTGAAACAGTTGCTATATTGAAAGTTTTTGTGTGCTGTTATGCTTTATTAGATAGAAAGACTGTGTCCTTTTAATATAGTGTATATCAAATTTATTTATTTGTAGCATATCAATGTATTTATATTAAATATAATATTATTATCTTAATAAAATTATTAAAAAAATATTGTATAAAAATATAATAATTAAGTTTTACTGACACAATGAAAATTGATGTTTTAAACAAAAATGATTGTGTGCGCTTTTCTTACTTTACATATGAGATTCATTTATTTACAACATGTGCTATTTACCTATTCATATGAAATATTTTATTAATTTAACAAAATTATTCAATATCTCTAAATATATAATCATAAAGTTTTACATATACATAATATGCTATAATATTGTTATTTTGTTTTATATAATATTGCCGTTTGTGTGCTCTTATTTCGTTATATGTATGATTTATTTATTTATTATGTATGCTCTTTATGTATTTATATATGAAGTATGGTAATTTTATTATTTTAAAAATTATTTTAATGATAATTAATTTTTACTGACACACTAAAAATATGTCTTATGGTTTTTATGGTTTATTTATTTATTTTTAGTATTCATATTTCTTGTGTTTTTTTGTTGCATAGTGTTTTTTTTTAGACATGTTACGTTGTTGTTTTGTATATATAATCATATGAAAAGATTATATGGTGTTGTTACGTGTGTACTATTATTTAGAAAATTGGAATATAGCTATGGATTAGTTTTAGGGTTTATATATATTTTTATTTTATATATACATTTATATATTTTTTTGTGCTATTTTGTTTTTATGTTGTGTTTTTATTTCGTTATATGTGTGATTTACTTATTTATTATGTGTGTTATTTATCTATTATGTGTAATTAAGTATGATATTTTTATTATCTTTACAAAATTATTTTAAAACCATAAAAATGTAATAATAATTAATTTTCACTGACATACTAAAAAATCATCATATGACCAAAAGATTAGTTTTAGGGTTTTTAGAAGAATTTATTTATTTTTATTATGTATATTTCTTTGTGCTATTTTGTTTTAATGTATGTGATTTTGTACTGATATAATGTTGCTATTTTGTTTATATAGTGTTGTTGTTTGTATGTTTTTATTTTGTTATATATGTGGTTTATTTATTTATTATGTGTGCTATTTATCTAATTATATATGAAGTATAGTATTTTTATTATCTTAACAAAATTATTTGAAAAATATAAAAAATATAATAATAATTAATTTTTATTTACACACTAAAAAATTACGGTACGACCAAAAGATTAATTTTAGAATTTTCAGGGTCTATTTATTTATTTTTATTATATATATTTCTTGTGCTTTTTCGCTCTATGTTGTATGTTTTTCTACACATTATAATATAATCATTACTTTTAGTGAGACACTGGAGCATAGCTATGGATTAGTTTTAGGATTTATATATATATATTTCTATTATTTATGTTATATATTTCTTTGTGCTATTTTTTTTATGTGTGATTTTGTATTATTATAATGTTGTTATTTTTTTTTTTATATGGTATTGTTGTTTGTTGTACTTTTATTTCGCTATATGTGTGATTTATTTATTTATTATGGGTGCTATTTATCAATTACGTGTAATTCAAATATGATATTTTTATTATCTTTACAAAATTATTTTAAAAACATAAAAATATAATAATAATTAATTTTTATAATGTTGCTATTTTGTTTATATAGTATTGTTGTTTTTGTGCTTTTATTTTGTTATATGTGTGCTATTTATCTATTTATATATGAAGTATGATATTTTTATTATCTTAAAAAAATTATTTTAATAATATAAAAATATAATAATTAATTTTTACTGACATACTAAAAATTGCAGTACGATCAAAATATTAATTTTAGAATTTTCAAGGTTTATTTATTTATTTTTATTATACATATTTCCTGTGTTTTTTCGCTGCATGTTGGGTGCTTTTCTACACATATTACGTTGTTTTCTGACACACGCATAAAGAAAACTACCTTAAAGTTTTTAGGGTTTAGATATAACTAATGTAATGTTTTTTCGCTATATTGTGGGTGATTTTCTAAATATATAGAGTTGATGTTTTGTTTATAGTGGTGTAATTTAAGTTTAAAATGAAATTCTATTTTGTGTTTTATTTTGTTATACATGTGCTTAATTTATGTATAATATGGTTTTTTTTAACCTTTTTATATAAAATATGATTTTTTTTATTAAAAAATTATAAAAATATTGATAGTAATTGTTTGCTGACATACAAATTTAGTATTAGGCTTAGCGCGTTTAGTCATATCAAGGAAGAAATTGTTTCAATGGAACAAATAGACTGTGTGTGCGATTACGTGTGATTTTATGTATAAATTAAAATTATTATTCTACCTTTTAAAAAAATCATAACAGTTAAATTATATTGTTAATCGAACGGTTTAGAACTAATCAGCATGGTGTTGATTAGCCTTAATCCGCACCCTAACTGTTCCCTAAGTATATACTTTATTTTAAAATTATATATTTATTTTTGGTGCAAGACTTAAAAATTAATAGTATTTTAATTAGGGATGACAATTCGGGCTGGATTTGATTTTTTTTGTGCTGGCTTGGCCAGACCTGAATTCAAATCCAGCTAGCACAGCCCGATTCCGAATCGGGCTTGGAAAGGCGGGTACAAGCATGATCCGGTTTGAAATTGGGCCTGTTTTTATTATTTTTTTTTATTTTATAGCAAAAGGGAAGAATTGAACACAACCAAATAGATGCTAGCTAAGAACTTCGCCAACAAATTATGTTTTAATATTTGTCTTTATTTAAAAAATTAATATACATAAATTTATTAAAATTTAAATATTAAATTTAAAAATCGGACTGGACCAGGCACGGCCCGATGTTCATAAGCCCGGGCACGGCCGGTTCATTAGCATACCGGGCCAGGCATGACCCGAAATTTTTCGGACCTATTTTTAGAGGTTCAAGCACAGTTTTTTCATACCGTACTTATTTTGGCCACCATTGCTTTTTAGTGTAAAAGGAATTATGTAATGATAATAGAAAAGATATTTGTAAAAAAAATAGGATCTATAATCATTAAGAAAATAACTACTTAGTAACTGGACAATCCAAAATAGAAATGTATAAGTGGAAGGAGAAAACATAAATAATATAATATAATGCAACTCACATGTGAATTGACATATGTAATAGTAGTATACACAATGGGTATTACAATTAATCTCATTACACAATATATCAATATACTAGACATTAATTAGAATAGCACTAACAATCTATAGAATATGTGCTATCTAGTGTGTTTTTATGTGTTGAATGAGCTAATTAACATGTGATGATTATTCTCATTCATTGACAACATGTATATATAAGTGTCTTATGTACTATTTGAATACAACAATGTTGTGTCATATATCTATAAATACAAAAAAAAAAAAAAAAAAAAAAGACATAGATAAACCGATAGATAAGATGTACAGATAAATAGATATCATATTATTATTATTATTATTATTATTATTATTATTATTATTTTTATGACGTGAGAATCCGCAGCCAGACATATATCATATTATTATATGTATATGATATATATATATGTTAAGAAAAGTTATAGAGAGAGTTGAGAGATGATGTGATTGAGTTATGTAAAGAGAGGAAAATATGTATATGATATATATATATGTTAAGAAAAGTTATAGAGAGAGTTGAGAGATGATGTGATTGAGTTATGTAAAGAGAGGAAACGAGACGGAAATAGAGACCTAATAAGTTATGTATATCTTCTCATTGTTTAAAAATAAGCCTATTTATAGGTACTATTACAAAACATTAGTCATCAATCAAGATGACTTGGCAACATTAAAATACAACATATTTTTTACATGTATATAGATATAATAAAACATATATAACTAATTAAATGTGATTATTATAACACTTTCTTTTATGTCAGTTACTTGTAACAAATATATTTCGTTAAAATTTTATTAGGAAAAAATTCAATAGAACAAAAATTTTAATGAAAAAAAAAAATATATGTAATTTATGCATTAAAAAAATATCCCCTATGTGGACATCACTTAAAATTTCGTAATCAAGACACCCTAATGTTCTTTATCAATTTCTCAAATGTTCGGTAAAGCTCTGGTCAATAAATTTGTTAAATTCTTATTCGATCGAATCTACAACACCTCTATTTCACAATTTTTCTGAAAATAATGAATAAAGAAAAATTCCGGTGAAATATATTTTGTTGTATCTCCTTCAA